CTTTCTGGAGAACTGAACTAGAGTTTGATTAAAACAAATTAAACATAGAAAGCTTTAATGCAACCTTTAGGTCATAAATTTATGTTTTATTTTTGACCTAGATATTTTTGCCAGGAAATAGATATGACTAGTTTATGAATAATATGAAGAACTGACTGGCATGGTTTCAGAGTTCACATCCAAGAATGGTTGGGTCTTACAGTATTATTCATAATTCTATTACTACATATTTGTGTCTAGGATATTAAAAATGTTAGAAACTATCAACAATTATCAATGTGCAGGACAGATCTTTAAAGCATCAGTCAGTAACCTGACTTCCTGTCTTGATAGGTTAACATGGAGAAATGTTTAACTGCCTCCAGCGCACCTTGTGGCATTGCACCTTATAATGAGGAAAAGGTATATCATAGACTGATGGTTGCCATGGACTACTGTTTGTCCATGCAAACTGGAAGGGTTATTCATCATTTAATTCATCACTGTCACATTCAGTTTGTTTCTCTCTCATAGGTTGCATTCACTTCCCTCTTCATGAATATTCCCTCTACCTCTGATTTGTTTAATCCTGTCGCTTTACCCTCCACTGCACACGCTAGCACACACACCCACACATACCAAGACTGCACAATAGACACACCAGTGCAGAGAAATTTCTCTCACAGTCTTATTTGTATGCACAGCTTCTCACATGCAAACACACACACACTTGCACACACCGTGGATTTGTTAAGCACAGATAACACTGACGTGCACACTGGGTGCGCATTTTTGTTGTGTATTTGTAAGTAAAGGAAGGAACCTCTGAGTTCATTCATATGTGAAGGAGGCATGAATCCGTAATTGCTTTCTGGCATGGTACGAGGACAGCTCTGAGAGTTGACTGGGTGTTGGTGTGCGTGCAAGCATAGAAACTTGTGCATGAATGTGTGTGTGTGAATGTCAAGTGGTCATCTTCAGTTCTTCATTTGACATGATGAAACATGTGCCTCCTTATCGAATTAAACTCTAATTCATTCCCTCTACAATTCCCACTCTTTGTATGCAGCCTGAAGAATCCTGTGGTGAAACATTGAAGTTCACCATTGCTTTACACAACACTGTGCCAACAGGTTAAGCAGCGGCCATGCTTTCATCTACGCTTTATCTTGAATTTAGATGTTGATACAAAAATAAAAGAGTTTATTATATATATTTTTCTCAATAACATTTACCCCAAAAAGGTGTTGCTTTAGGTGTAGTTTATGTTGTGTTTGATCTGTGTGTGTCATGAAATTCCTACACCGGAAATATCAGAGGAGTTTATATTTTAAACTTAATATAATGTCACCTTCCTGGACAAAGTAATTTCCTGTCAAAAGTGACATTTTTGCCTAAAACATGTTTCTGAAGGAAAGAGGTAGTGATTTAGGCCATTACTTTAGGAAGATGTCAATATATGACTTACACTTATGTAACTAACTCCCACATCGTTTTTTATACTGATAAAGTCTCTAATAGCTTATATAGGATTTTGTCTTGATGTTTCTGTTGAAATTTTGACATTTGACATGAAATTAGTTTAGTTTTGTTATATTTGACCTAAAACCCAGTCCTGGCCTCCTTTGGTCAAACAATACCTAAATAGTTTTCTTGTTGGTTGCAGTGGTCCAGTTTGGTACAGCTTCATCACATCCCTGTGTTCAGGTATCAAATGATCTCACTCAGACACACAACCTCTCCCAGTTGTGCATCAATAGTTAGAATAGCTAGCATGACCAGAGAGCATCGATCAATAGCATGTGCAAAGGTGTGATTTATTTGCAATATGGGCACAGAGTGGAGTAGGTGTCCAGTGGCGATTGGTGGTGTGAGAGGCTTGCAGCATCACTTCCTAAGGACTGCATTGACAGGATTTCTTTGTTATATACAATAATTTATTGTCAAACTAAAGACAAGAAAGCAAAATCACTTTGGGCGTTTCACCAAGATCCTTTATGGCAGTTTTCAGTGTTTACAGTTAATGGCTTTAACAATGCGACTAAGGTAAAACGTCAAGATAAGAGTGTCAGCTGATTTTGTTTAGTGCAATAATCTGTTCTGGTACCACCCATTTAAAAATGCAAGGATTTGGATCCTGAGCCAAATACTTGAGTCAGATCTGTAGATGAGTACTCTAGAAAATTCAACATGTTTTATTTTTCTGATACCAACAATTACAGACTTTTCTACCTCATGTTTACATGTAAGTATCACAGATCTTTGCTTTGAAAGAAAAAAAGTTGTGTGTTTAAACCAAAAAATCAGGAGGACCATTCAGATTGTCATCTATAAATATAGCAGCCGAGGTCTGTACAGGTTAATATGTAGATTCACTTAGAAAATGATTCATACTTGTGCAATGCAGTAAAGCAAATCTAGATTTTAGAGAAACTGCAGAACTTCTCTGCAGATGTCCTCGGATTTTTCAAGGGAGAGCAAAACTGTATTCTGCATACACTACAAGCCATGGTTCCTTCTGAAAAGGATGTCTCTGTACTTGACAACCTGTCCCCTATAGAAGGTGCGCAGAGAAATTTGAAAGGGAAAAAAGTCAACACTGCCAGCCCCATTTTATTTCAAAATTGCACATATAATATATTTTCAAGAGAAGCATGGCTTACATGCTGTTTATAAAAACAGCAAATAAATAAAAGTCAGCAAATGTAAGAAATATTGCGATTTTTCCTTTCTTAGAGTTTGTATAACATGGCATTCCATTCTCTGAAAACTTACTTTAAAACAGATTACATAAGAAAGAAGTTATCAATATTAGGAACATGAACCGCATGATATTATGCGGCTGAATATTGCAATGACTGTGTATTTACCCACATGCATCTGTCTAATCACTGTCAGAAATGTGCATGAATCAGAGGGAAATATGTTGAAATAGACTAATCGACATTTTTGTAAAGCAGAGTTTTAATGCACTTGAAATAGTTTAATCTACCAGACATTGCATTCAAATGCACACATTTATTTTATGATTGCAACTCAGTATAATGTGCAACTCTATCAAGAATGGAAGTATGAATGAATGTGTTGTCTGTAATTGGAGATTATATTAACATTGCATCATATTATTATTTATATTATTAGTAAATATCCACCTTAAAAATAATTTAAGGCTACATTTAGCTAAGCTAAGCTTAAGTTCAGTGAACTTGCAGTTTGGTTCGGTAAGATTCAGAATATGCTTATTTATTTATTTATTTATTTTAGAAATTTCCATGTTGAAATGGCTAGTTATACATAAAATGTATTGGACAGAATTTCACAAATACTGATAGCAGTTTCTTGATGAGAATTTAACCATGTTATGTCAGGTCTGATGTCCATGTCGCTCTATGGCAGTAAGGAATTACTACTTTTTAATTAGAAGAAAGTTTGACAAAACAGATCAAGCTTCCGAGTGAGTTTGTGTAATTGCTATATTATAGATTTTATTGATGTGCACATGTTATATAGATATTAAAAATGTCAATAGTTTTTGCCACAATTAGGTGCAGATGTTTTTGATATTTCTAAATTAAATTACTTCAATGTTTATTAAATTAAAGGGCATAACAAGTGAATTTAATTGAGTCAAATATTCATGCTGTGCCATTTTTGTTTGTGGCATCAGAAAAAAGCAATGATTTGTTTAGCTGAAGTCAGTTGTTGTAAAAGCAAACCAATTCAAAGGGTTGCTAACTGCTTTGTGTGCATTGGATACCTATGTGTGAATGTATTTATCTATATCCCTCCATTTGCAAATTCTGTCACAACAGCAGGTAAATTACCACAAGCAACAGAGCAATCAAGGATTACACTCTTGTAGGATTAGCATTCAGTATCCGTGTGAAGGTCTGAGCCAGAGTGGATGTGCCTGAATGTGTTCGTAGGTGTGGTTTGAATTGTGTCCTTTTGTAGCTGTACACGAACCCAATGTGCAAGTCAGATAACCAAAAAAAGAAAGTTTGACATTGACTACTAAGCTCTTTGCTTGATGCATAATTCATCTGTCTCTACAGACTGAACCTGCTTTTGAAGCTATCTTATTCAACTTTAACTAAAACAAACTACAAACAGTCTCATTTTGGAGCATTTTTTTTTCTTTCATTTTCTTTTGCTACTAATTAATATTCATTGATATTAGCCAGAAGTTGCTGATGCTACTGTCACTCCCTTTTCTAACAATCTCAACACGTACAGTTGCATTTTCTCCCTCACTGCATGGTAATTCTTACATCATTACCATAAATTGACTTAAATGAAAAGTGTCATTTTTCCAAAATTTTCAGTGAGATAACACTACTTCATTAAGGATATTATTAAACCCGAGCAGCGAAGCACTGCAAAGATCTATTGCATCTGTACTGTTTTTTTTTTTTTCTGTCAAATGTATTGGCTCTTTGTAGCTCTAAACATATATGAAAACTCACCAAACTTGGTGAATGCATCAGACCTGCATGAAAAGGATTTTTTTTAAAGTCGGAACAGAAATGGTGTAACAGCGCTCCCTTGCAACTTTCAAAACATCTTCTGAAATCACCTGACTTTATAAATTGCAGGTAAATGACCTGTAAATTGGTTTCTTGAAGTATTATTATTCAAATAATGGCTCTTTCAAAGGTGTAAATGGTAGATTTCTGCACCTAAGTAGAAGTGAAGTAACATATAATGTCCAGGATTTTACCAGGGCCTGTGAGAAAAAAAGTTATGGTTTCAAAATATCCTGGTTTTTCAAAATAAGATGTAAAAAATGCCTCTGAATTGAACCACAACGATTAATACATGTCAACAAATTACTAGCATAAAGTATTGATCAACAATTATTTGCTGTTGTTTGTGTTAGTATTGCAGTGGGACTTCTAAGTTTATCAGTGTAAAAATGAAAATCTGAATTAGATATTTTTACATTATTTCAGACATCCAAGTTTTTATTTTATGGAGTTACTGAGGACTTTAATCCCCCTTCTGTTTTGCTCCTCTTCTAGGCCCCAGTACATTTCAACCATGTGCCCTGAGCTGCAGGCCAAAGTGCTTCAATGCTATAATGAAAACCCAAAGCAGACACTGCACTGCTCCAAACTGGCTAGACAGTACATAGACTGTGTTCAGCAAGGGAAAAAGGTAAGTCATGGCTGCTGCAATTAGCATGTAGATGTAAAACCAAATACAGAGAAATGGGCAGTTTTCTTTTCAGGACACCGTATTTGTTTTCAGCTTAGCTGCAAGCTCATAAGATTTTGAAGTAATCAGCTTTTATTGCTGACAGTAGAAAATGACGGCAAAAAGACAAAGAACCTCAAAGTCTTAATTTAAAGTACTTAATTTCAAAGTATTTGCATCTTTCCTGTTAAATATTTTGACACCTCAAGTTGGAGAATACAGAAATGACATATGCTTTCTATTTGGGGGCTTACATCATTACCAGTGTTCAAAAATGGGTTTTGCATTCACTTTGTAAAGTGTTTTGCTTTGCTGTTGCTTTTTCAAAGAGTCTTTAAACCCACGGCTTATCTACAAAGTGTTTTATTTACTCAATTTATCAATCAAAAAGCAATTCTGAATGGAGTAATTTGCACATTATTACCATGGCAGAATGTCTTTCTGCTGCTTCAAAGTTATAAAAGGCTCAAAGCAACAATTGATGAATTTGGCTGTACCAACAGCCGATAAAAGCAAAGGCTCAGAATAAAAGCAATCAGTGGTTTTATATTGTTTCAAAAGCGTAATTACCAGTAGAATGCTGTTCTGTGGGGAAGAAACATTTTATATTCTTGCACCAGATTTTTTTTTAATTATGTGACATATAAATTGAGAGTGGAAACTGTTTTTTCTTCTTTTTTCAGTCACATATTTAATTCATAGCCAAATACTTAGAAACATTTGGTGAAAATGAGAATAACTGGTTAAGTGAAATATCTACAGAAAAAAATAAAAGTATGACAGTGAAAGTAAAGAGTAAAATTATAATAACCAGAAATTAAGACTTATAAAAACCCCCAAGAGTTTTACTCCTTGTGAGATTTCTCCACATAATATTTCATCCAGTGTTTATTTTATGCTATTGCCAAGTAACAGAAAATATATATATGTGAAGTAAATGTTCCTTATTTTTGTTATGGTGCAGGATAAAAGTTTGTTTAGCTTTTATTGTTAAAACTCCATCTCCCTAAAATTCACAGAATACCAAGCTGGTGCCTTTTTAAAGTTCACATTGTGGCTTTTTCTTTGAAGAAAACAATCTTGACCCTGACATTTTATCGCTGACATCTTCTCTGTCTACCCTTTCTTTATAGGGATAATCTAACAGAGATTAAATCTTTCATTTTAAAGACTGGCTTGCACCACTATTTCGAAGACAGTGGCTTTTCAGGTTGACCTTTGAGACTTTTGAAGTTTTTTTTTTATCCCTGTCTCAGACTTTGAACAACTCATAAATGTTTCTAGGAATAAGATTTAAACTTGTAAGCCTGAAAAATTTCACATTAAAAGTGTTACTATCTCCATCCAGTCTATTATCAGATATCATCATTCCAATTCTTCTTCATTCTTTGCATTTTCCTTTTTGTGTGAGCAGGATATTTTTAATCACAGGTTTGTTACCTGTGTCAAAGTATGCCAAGCTTTTCCAAAGTAGCATTGACCAATTGCCTCCAGGCCACGCTGTATTGATGCAGATATTCACGTAACGGAGGAGTGACCAAGTTTTAAGACCCTACACTCTTCAGCATATGGACATAGTTTTTATTAGAAGTTTGCATTTTTATTCGTTTCAAACCATTATTATCAAAATCTATGTAAATAAATGCCTGAATTTTATCATTTTGTGCATCATGATTAAAAGGCTTCTCTCTGAATTGAATTCCAAAAGTAAATTGTGTCAGTGATTTTTTTTTATTTATTAAGCTGTAATAGAGCTAAACAGGTTCAGGTTTCAGAATCCCTGAAAAAACTGCAGGAACAAAGCATTTGTCATTGTGCAATTGGAGAATTTTGCAGAAAAGTGAAAATGTTTTCTTCGTCATTTGTGAGAAATATATTATAAAACAGACATTCAGTACAAAAGTAGAAAAATGTGAAAATGCTAATTTCTTAACACAAATTAATACCAAGTAATATTACTTATGTTATAAGCTCTTTTGAAAGTTTGCGTACCAGTTTAGACAGAAGACATTTACAGTTGATAAATTTTGCAAGTAAAAATCAGATGTTTACTTCATGGCACTTAGACTTGTATTTTATTGATCCCTTGGGAAAACTCCCTCAGGAAATTAAAGTTACCTGGATACCAGTAAACACACTCATCTCTTAGCAACAGATTATTATTGTTCAAAAAAACAAGATTTCTTCTGCTCTTTCTAAATACCTCTTACTATTTAGGTATTGTGCATTTGGTGAATTTTGCAGAAAAGTGGAAATGTTTGTCACTGGTGGTATAAAGACACACTTTCAACACAAAAGTCAAAATCTGATTTTCACTTCATCACAGTTCGTTACCAGAAAAAAATGCTCTTCTATTAACACAAATTAATAAAAGTAACATTGCTTATGTTACACAGGCTCTATTGAAATACATCTTATCTGCTTAAATACAAGAAATTTACAGATGGTAAATTTTGCAAAAGTAAAAATCTAATTTTACTTCGTGGCACTTTACCAGAAAACGCGCTCATCTCTTAGCAACAGATTGACAACAAATATTATTGTTCAAAAAACATAATATTTCATATGCTCTTTCGAATTATCACATACTACTGAACAAGAATTGTGCATTTAATGAATTTTTCTGAAAAGTGGAAATATTTGTCATTGGTTTTAAAGATATACATTCAACACGAAAGTAAAAATCTGATTTTCACTTCATCGCACTTCGTTACAGAAAAAAAAAAACACTCATCTCTTGATACAAATAAATAACAAGTAATGTTTGCAGAACATATGTCCTTTTGAAAAACTGCTTATCTGCTTAAACAGAAGACATTTACAGTTGGTAAATTTGGTAAAAGTAAAAATCAGATGTTTACTTCGTGGCACTTCAGCAGTAAGCACACTCATCTTTTAGCAACAGATTATTTTGTTCAAAAAACATAAGATTTCTTCTGTTCTTTCTAAATACCTCTTACTATTTAAGAATTGTGCATTTGGTGAATTTCCAGAAAAGTGGAAATAATTATAATTGGAGATGAATATACTATAAAACAGACATTCAATACAAAAGTAAAAATCTGATTTTCACTTTGTGGCAGTTCGTTACCAGAAAAAAATGCTCTTCTATTAACACAAATTAATAAAAGTAATATTGCTTATGTTACACGGGCTCTTTTGAAATACTGCTTATCTTCTTATATAAAAATTTACGGTTGGTAAATTTTGCAAAAGTAAAAATCAAATGGTTACTTCGTGGCACTTGATTATCAGAAAACGCAGTCGTCTCTTAGCAACAGATTAACAATAAATATAGGTATTTTTTCATAAAACAAGATGTGTCCTGCACTTTCGAAATACCACTTATGTACTATTTAACAAGAATTGTGCATTTAGTGAATTTTGCTGAAAAGTTTAAAGATTTTATAAAACAGACCTTCAACACAGAAGTAAATATCTGATTTTCACTTCGTTGCAATTCGTTCCCGGAAAATAACGCTCATCTTTTAACACAAATTAGTAATAAGTAATCTTATTGTTTATAAAATATAAGCTCTTTTGAAAAACTGCTTATCTGCTGAGACAGAAGACATTTACAGTTGGTAAATTTTGCAAAAGTAAAAATCAGATGTTTACTTCGTGGCACTTTGTTACCAGAAAACACACTCATCTCTTAGCAACAGATTAACAACAAATACTGTTGTTGTTCAAAAAACAAGATTTCTTCTGAAAAAGTCTGAAGAAAAAAGTCAGGATTTCAGGCATTTCTGAGTCAGAAATCTCTTTCTCTCACTTTCTCTGTCTATCTATATCTATATATATCTATATAAATATATAGATGTTAAATTATTGTCTGCAGAAGTACATATCTTTTAAATACGGCTCACTCTTTTCTTGAATATAGTTTGTCTTTTCTCCTGCATGTAGTATGGCATGATGAGCCTTTTTTCACATGTGGTTGGTTCTATTTTCTGACTGTATCCGTCTGTTTTTTTTTTTTTCTGTGTGCTTACAACTAAGATCGGCTTCCTATCAACTCTACCATACATCTTTTCGTGTCCATCAAACTATGTTTGTCAATCATTCTGCCAATAAAACTAGCAGCCAAATTATCTCTTTTTTTCCTTCCAAAGTTTTGATCTCGACATCACTAGAATATCTATCTTCCTCTTTCTGGCTGCCTTTTGAAGTCTCCCCACTTCACTATCTGCAGTGGCGCAGCTTTCCTTACATGTCACTCAGAAGTTGTTTTATGTTTTATAATTCATGCCTGCTCGCTCATACGCATTTTTTTACACACTCTTCCCTTTACCATCTGTTGAGGCAGTTCAGGGTATGGCCTTTCCACCCCCTCTCATCTATCAGTCCCCTTGTCCATCTTCTGCTAGTGTCTCTGCTTTGGCCGTTGTCATGCATAAGGACCTTTTGTTTCTGCTTGTAGCTTTGCAAACTGTTGTGTGAATTATGTAACCTAGATTAAGGTCAATGCACCTAGGCCCTCTGTTTCAAAGTTTGTGGTTTCAGATGCCTAAATAACATATACTCATTGTTGATTGTAGGGCTCTTGCTGCATGCAGTAGTCGACATATAGCCCAAAGAGCTGTGATGCATTTTTGAATTTAAGTTTTTGTTGTTCTTTTCATTATTGCAGTAAAATAAGAAAACATGCTAACATTTTTGGTTTATATAATGTGAATGTGTGATTTACTACACAACTGTTTTCCAAAATAGCCTTTGGCCTCTTGTTCCACTCTACAATGTTTTAAGACTGCTGTGCAGGCCGTGTACATCGCTGTCCTACTTCATACCATGAGCAGAGGCTAACTATTTCAAAGAAAAACACTTTTACAGCACCAGCCCTCTCACAGTACTTGACCTATCTGAACCTGTGGGATTCCTGCCAGATGTATTTGTTTTTGTGCTTGCTCCTGAGAGATCAAGTGAAGTGCCACTCAGTTTCAGGCTTGATTACAGAGGTG